TTAGGCCAGTTTGCCCAGTATAATGACCCTGATTCACACACTTTCTAACCTAAAATCACTAAACTTCAGAATCCTTTGGCGTTCGTCGTGGCGTTCCCGGATTCCAGGTTTAAGGAAAACCCTTCCAAAGGTGCCTGACCAACAAACAGATGGACTCATGCTAAAACAATCACAACAGTGGACAGTGTTTTAGTGACTGAATCCGCGATCAGCCAATATGAAACCAATCCTTTTTGGCCGTTCGAGCGGGAAAGATGGGCCTAGTATCTAGCCCTCTCGGGATTTTCCGCGTTATTCCTGCAAGAAAGAGTTTTCTAAATCACTGTATTGATCAATATTGACCAAGCCTGATCGGTCAAGATGGCGGATATTGGACCTCTTTGTTTTATGGCCTTTCACCACCCCTCAACCCCCCCCGCCCCTCCCACCGAAAAAAATGGCCAATACATCCAGTCATGTTGAATGAACAAGCTTCGTCAAAAACGCACATAACTTTATGAGAAGCAGAGTTTGTTCCTGTATATGAAGGGACTTATATGCCAGAATGTTCGGGGAAACAACACAAACTGAACACTTACTTTGTGAAACATGTAAGTCACCGCGAGTCACAAAGTGGACCGGACGCTTTTTCTACAAATGTTAGTGCCACACAGGAGATTAAGTCTTCATTAAAACGTAGTGCTTCCAGCGATAATGATAAAAGCAAATATGTAAACCGTCAGACAGAAATCTGGGCCAGGGAGGCGCAATGCTGATGGACAGCCTAAATTAGACAAATCGGGATTTGGAATCTGCTCTTTTCATACACTCCTCAAAACAGATTGGATATGTGTAGGAGTATGCCAAGATAAGTCTCGTCTTCTTTATCATACCGGGGTAATGCATGCATGAACTAGATGCTTTCATGGTCCCCATCTCATGTTTTTTTGAACTGTCGCAAAATCTTTTATACTGGTTCTACATTATGAAAGCAAACCCTCGCAATGCCTGTAACCATCCCACTACCCCAAGAAGGACTACCCTCTGAAACAGAAAAGAACTTAGTTGATTGTGTTATCTCGTTTATTTTTAGAAATTACAAAAAAGTAAACATTCCAATCAACCTATCGGTCAACAACTTTATCAACTTATTTATGTTTAACTGGTTTGTCACACGCAGGAGCGGGTCCAGGATTTTTCTTAGGAGAGGCTGCACCACTAAGGAATGGCGTAACCGACCGGTGACGTTAACAAATGTTTACAGAATACCAGTTGTATTAGAAAGCCATCTAGAGGGGGGAGGGGGGCAGTGCGCACCCTCCTCTGCACCCTCCCTCTAGTTCCGCCCCTGACATATAACCCCCCACTCATGATGAGTACTCTAGCAAATGATTGTTCTAACATTGAAAAAAAACATGATTAGGAATTAATTTAATGATAAAGGTTATGAAAATTAGATTTTATAACAAAGTATAACAGCTTTTTACAACCTTTATCATCAAAGGACAGCTGTAAGTTTTACTGTTAGTCTGAGTCTATTGTATCTTAGATATTGATGATTTGATTTTGCCCCAGAGCAATTTGTAACTGAGTGTCAAAAGTGATTTTCTCTCCGTAATTAGTCTAAATAACTCACATCTAGGCGGCGCATGTTCCTTTTCTAAGCCTTGATGGAGCAAGCCAAGCTTCTGGAAATGGCTTTTTATACAATTTTTTGACCGAACGACTTGTAAGCCTATTGCTCTGTTGCCGAAAGGCGGTTACGCGCCTGCCATCTCCTCAAGGAAACATATTCAAAACTACTGTAGAACCAGTCACGACTTGAGCACTGGAGTTTTCTCGTATCTCCAGCAGTTTGCTTGTGTTTGCTCTTAGGTATTATTGGCTCTCTGAGATACCTCCTTTCCTCTGATTGACTTGATTTTTTTTTCTGACACTCAATCAAATGACACTCAGATGAATTCAGCACAGCTGTATTAGTAATGTTAAAAAAAAAACAGTAGGTAATAAGCTTATGAATACAAATTAATTACTGAGTGCACAGGGTCCAGAGGAGATGTGTTTGTCGTTAGAACATCAAAACCCGTCGAAAACCAAATGGGTTATTTTGATCGCGTTACAGTTTCGTTACACATTCTATAGACCGCAAACCAAGAGACTGAGGGCTCGCAAGATCGGCTTACAGTATAATATACGGAAAGGGAGGAAACAAATTTGGGGCCGATTTTCGAATCCCTGAAACTCAAAGGGAATTGAATGAAACCCCCTGATTTTACTAACCTGATCTAGAATTCTTATGCATTTGCCAAATACTGTAGGAAAACGGCATAAAAAAGCGTTCAAATTCATTTTCGGCGACCGAAATTTACGGCTTCGAGATAGCGCTTTCGTTCGCTGTGCACCACAACAGATGGTGACGGAAATGACGTAGTAAAGTAAATGTGCTCAAGATCGGAGCAATAAAAGGGAAGCCTACACGACTTTTGCCTCATGCCAAAATGCTGCTCGTTCCAATAAAGTTTTTTCCCTCTCCTTGGTAGATTATGCTGTGGAAGGTTCTACAGCAAATGTGATTTTAGCGGGGATTTTAGCCGCATGTTTCACACTGAGAGGTCATGACACATATCGATTTACTGTGGTTTTTTTTTTTCTGGTCGGCAGGATTTGCCCTCTGATGCAGTCTTTCTTTGACCTCTTTTGAAGCGTAAAGCTTTTTATTACGGCTGAACAGGGGTTCCAGTTTTCTCCAAAGTGCCTTCTGGATCTGAATAACTAAGCAATTTTCTTTAGTCCGTGAATGTAATGTTTTTCTGCAATGCTGTATCACGCTGGGCCCAGCTCGTTAGTTTTGTTTGGAGAATGTTAAATTGTTGCGGATAGTGATTTACGGGTCGTGTGTACTCTTGCAATAAAACGTGACACTGTGTAGAGCGGACGTACAAGGCAACCGTAATATCATCACGACTGTGCCATTCTTCGGTGGTCCAACTATATTACGTCTTGCGTCTTTGGCTCTGAGTTTTGCGACTACTGGGAAGCCTTCGCACAAGCAAAACCTGCTTAAGACATCGAAGACTGTTGAAACGTACAACAAATGTGCAGTGTTGAAAGATCTTCAACTCAATTAAAACTCTGTTGCCTTCGTTGCCTTCGCATAGATCTCTGAGATCTTTAAGACTCCGTCCGCAGCTGATGTTTTGATTCTCGAATTAGCAGCGGTCTGTTGCTTTTGCGTTTCCGGTCTCATTCACTTCCGTCACCGAGTGATGCGCTTCACAGCGAACGAAGTCACGTGGTACAAGTTTCCTCCCTTGTCCTTTCTTTTACTCGGCACTTCATGCCTCGGTCGCCCTTCGGGCGACGTGCCGTGGGCCAGCGAGGATGTGGCTTGCGGTTATTGATTTTCAAAAGTCGATCTGGGTCAGATAAGAAGCGAAGAAATCGTTTACAGTAGATTTATAAAGATCCCATTGGGCTATTTTTCAAGGTGAGAATTTAAATAAGTAATCCATTTATTGACACGAAACTCCCCTGAACCCTGTGCTGAGTATCCAAAATGTCTCACTCCATTCTTAATTAATGTATTTTGAATGTAAAAAATAACCAAAGTTAAGAAGATGATTAAATACACTTCAAATAGGTGATTAAAAGTTCAGCAAAGCCACAGATTAAAAAAAACCTGCTTCTATCCAATAACAATGTCTTAGTCTTGCTGTAAATGCTACATTCTAAATCTATCAAAAATCAATAAATTATAAACTCATTCAACGCACAAAAAGGGTCAAACAATTCAGTAAAGTCTACGTATATAAAAATACTACCAACTTATTAGTAAGCACCCAAAATGTCTCCATCTAGACTAAAGTACTTTACTATAAACTTTAGGGCACTCTTTTTTTCTTTCAGTTTCCTCTTTCTCCCTCAGCTAACAATTTACTTTAAATGCTACAAAAATGTATTGCATTTTCATCGTGGTTAACTAGTTTGTGGTTCTAAGTGATAAGTGTTTGGAGGAGTTAAACCAACATGAGCAAGAGTTAGACTTGTGATCACGAGGTGCTCTAATAAAGTATCAATACAATAGTGTGGTTAAGGATAACTTTTCATGGTCCTTCCATTAAGTACTGTGGAGATGATCCCACCTTCCCCACCCTCATAAGTCAAACTCGAGAGTTTTCTTATGAGGACTAGGACTAGCAATGGAAGGAAATGGGTGGGATGCCTGTAATATCATTGGTCAACATTCGCAGCAACTTGTACTTCTATTTAATTCTTGTTTATGTTGTGTTTACTAACCTCGAGAAGATTCCTACACTAACTGGATAAACACTACGAAAAGAAGTAATGAACGTTCGAAATTACTACATGCAACGGTTATACATAAAGTGTCATTGCAAGTTTTAAATATACTGAATTCAATTGCAAAGCTCAGAAACGTCCGATCAAGTTTGAAAAAACACCCTCTTCAAAAAACCTAGTTACACCCTGTGTAAAACGTTAATCTATTTGTTGGCGATTAAAATATTACGAAACTGTAAAGCAAATGTTTCAAATAATCAGCTTTAAAATAACCAGTCTATCCGAAACTAATTAGACCATGAAATACTCTGAGAATTCTTTGAAACTGTTTTACAAACATTCTACACACGCCATATAAATTGAGGGACCTTTAAGTTGAAAGAAAACAAAAACCTGTTCCATGATTCTAACAAGTTTCAGAGACACGGGTGGAAATTTTAAAGATCAAGAAACGAAGCGAGAGCGGGTGCCTCGTATTCTTTAGTTCTTTTTCAGAGCTGTTTCTTGTCATCTCAAACTTTCACGAGATATTGCTAGCTATGTGTTTTTGTAGAGGTACAGAAGTACGGCTTTTGGCCCTTGCATTGTCTTTGGCTGTTCTTTAATCATTATTTTAGTTGACAAATATAGCTGCTGAGAATGCTGACCTTTTCTTTTGGCAGTTAGTTGTTCATTCTATACCAGTTTTTTTCATATTTAAGATACTTTTGGACACTTAACTTAAAGTCTCCACACTTGTTCATCTCTGTGGGTGGTTGCAACTTGTGTTGCTCCTCTGAGGCTTCATTGACGATCAGTGCCATTCCCTCGAGTTGGTGCACCTCTATGTGACAGTGAAGAAACCACTGGCCAGGATTGTCAGATATGAAATTGATGACAACGTATCCCCCGGCGGGGACAATAACTGTGTCCTTCCTAATCGTTTTTTGATCTATAAATAACTGCACTGGTTCGCGCGCCCACCTCGGTTTGGTACATCTTTTCTTGTCGCAATCCTTCTTTGTGCAGCTAACATCATCGCAGTATATTTTTTTGTTGTGTCCTTCAGGTCTGATAAAACCAGTTTGCGGGTCATATTCTGGATATCCAACATCAACAACATGAAATGTATGACCATGAAGGTGAATTGGATGAGCATTGTTGTAAGCACCAATTGCCGAAAGCACGAATTGAACAGTTTCCTTATGTGGAATGTCTATCACGTGGACACATGAGCAATCGGTTGTCGATGGATTGCAGTCAGCCTTCAGGTCACAAATTGTGTCCTTTTTGAGAAACTCTTCATGTTGGGTTTGGGGTGGAAAGGAAGGAGGGATGAAATTGCGCCCATTCACTGCACTAGTTTGAGAGCCACCCTCAAAATTGAAGTTGATGAAATGTCGACAATTTGGGCAACTCGCGGAGCTTCTAGGGTGTGCATTTGGAAGTTCGTTGTGTGGAGTTGGCTCAAGTAAACGTAGGTTTTGAACGTTAATACAAATAGTGTTATAGGAGTCATGGAAGTTCTCAAATGGACAGTTCACCGCTATGCATTGATGGTATTTAGAGCATTGTCGAGCTGGAGACTCATGTTTTATTGTCTCATATTTTGTGGACGGTACATTATCATCTGGATTAGTCGAGTCTCCATGTTGTTTGTAGTGCAGAATAGCCTCTGCCACATGCCCTAGTGACCGGTAGGGTGGCCCCTTCCTGTTTGGATCAATCTCCAGCGTCTCTGCACGTATCCAATAGTCTTTTCTCCTTGTATTTGTTGCACTTAGTAGAAAGTCATACCTCTCTCCGGAATGAATAATGATGTAATCAACGTTATCTTTGGGCATAATCCAATAGCCGTCGGTGGCCACCACAGTCAACTTATGTCCATCAATGGAGAACTTGTAAGCGTACAGTCCTTGGGCTCCAATCAGCCGGAAGCGATATGTCTTTTGGGGCTCAACAGTAAATATGCTCAGTCTTGTTTTAGAGTATGGAACATCAGCATGCCTGCCTTTACCATTTATGATTCCAGAAAAATACGGAACAGGACCAACCTCTCCTTCTTCAAAACTACGTGTGGAGTTATACCGTCGCAGGAAATCATCTGGAGTTGGTACGTCGCCAAGCGGCTTGCCTGGATAAAAGTTCAAGCTGGCGTGAATCTGTGTGAACAGATCCAAGGATGCCTAATGTTGCCAATCTAGAAGCGTTAAGGTGTGCTGATCTGGAAGATCCTCAAATGCAGACCTCTGTAGTGTATCTCGGAGTTCTCTCATTTTGGAAGGGCGTTCTTTAACTATAAGACCACCGAAGAAGCCATCTGTTCTTTGAGCGCCACTGTGAGAGTGGTACCAAAACGTCCCAGCAGGACTAGCGGTATACACGTACGAAAAGCTAGATGAGGGTCCTATCTGACATTGAGTTACTTGTCCGACGCCATCCATCCAAGGTGTTCCTCTCTGGTGCATCCCATGCCAGTGAATGGAAATACCTTCAGTGGTAAGGTTGTTGTGAACATGAACTTCCACAGTTTGCCCCTCGTGAACAATCAAAGTAGGTCCAGGGATTTGCCCATTAACGGCTATTGCCAAACGGTACGTCTTGCCATCTACAAACTGGGGGCTAGTGCATTTACTTTTGTCCTGTGTTGCACATTGTCTATCTTTATGCAGTGGCAGAGGTATTCCATTTTCATCGAAATAATAGATCACTCCTTGGGAGCCACGCATAGCTATTCCTGTAGGTTCATCTACTGATAACTTTTGATAACTGGTGAAGGTTCGAATTTCGTCAACTTCAAGATTGAATATACAAACCTTTTCATGTTCCATGCATTCACAAGTTGGATTGCCGTATTCACAATTGAGGATATCTTTCAATGACCTTGTTAGTTTGATGTCTGTCGTTCCGTGTGGGCCAAGCCACTTGTTGAGATGTGGATCACTTGTCAGATCCATGTACTGCTCTTCACCGGTCTTAGCAAAAGTGCTAATGGATGCTATGTACCACTTCTCATTTCTTCCATTATGAGCTTGTAAGTGAATTTCCTTAATGTCGGAGAACGACACGCATTTAGTGATTTGAAATCGGTTTGCGAAGTTCAACTCTCGCTCATATTTTCTGTTTGTTTCCATTGGTCCTTCAAGTTCCGCTCGAAATCGTTGGTTATTTGTTAAATAGAGGACTATAAAGATATTCGTGTCGTATGGTTTGAACGAGAAAGCACTGTATCGCGTTACTGCCTCTACACGTATGTACGTTAAACAGGATTCTGTGACAGCATTGGTAAGGAGTAGCGTTTTGGCATTGTATGGGTATTTATATTCTTCATCATTGTCCACCCACATATTAAAGCCTGGATCAGTGGTTAGTTTTGAGTAATCTCCAAACCTTCCTGCGATATAGGTGTTGATCCATTGAACGTACCATCCATCATTTCCTTTAGCCTGGAGATAAACTTTGTCTATGTCTCGACGAGTGCAGCTGAGCTTCGGATCAAAATTATCGCGTTTCAATCTTATTGTGTATTTAGTGCCTTCGTACTTGTCGTTTGGAAGCAATGCTCGATGGCTCTTTCCATTTTTCAGAACGATGATTAGTTTTGGATTTGCACCATAGCGAAGCCTTTGACCTCCGTCACGGCGTCCAACCGGGTCCCTGCCGGTCATTGCCTCAACCTTTACATAGTTGATGAACTCTATGAAGACAGAACAGGGAAAGGCATTTAGTTGCGTAGCTTAACACGTAAGAACTTAGTATCAGGTTGAAATCAGACATTTCGATGAAGATGAATTTGAGAAGATGTTTACTGAAAAGAATCTACTTCTTCCTCTTAACACCAAATTACATGATCACAGTCGAGCTGCAAGCAGGAAAGCTGCTTTTGCATTGACGTTCTTTGTGAGAGAAACGCTGGAGCACCGGACCCTCTCACCCTCTATGTTTCTATTTTCGACAATTTTAATGCAATCAATCAAGCCTCGGCCTCTCCCTATAGCTCATATCTCGAATTCCAGGTCTACCGCTGTGCCGAATTTCCATGATGTGGAAGTGCTCTTAGTTCAAACTTGTATATGAAACGTCGCAAGTAAGGTATCGAGAATGGATGAAAATTCAGTAGATGATAATAAGTAGCAATTTTTCACTGAAGTGAAGGTGAATAATTATTTTAGTGTCTACTACAACAGTGAGATAATTGAGCCAAATCAAAGTGAGTGCTAGCCACAAAACACGGAAAAAGTTATGTTGTTAGTAAAATTTATGTTAGTTTTAGTTTTAGTTTTTTTTAAAATTTTTCTCAATATATATATATTCTTATAGAATAGGTGGTAAGTTGAGCTCAGAATATTACTTCTTAAGAGAGTCCACTGTGAAGAAGACTTCAGGTACTGGATTGAACGAGCGAATGTCAGTTTAACGTGTTTCTTTTGTAGGAAAAAAAATCGCATAGAGTAACGTGATTTTGTCAATCTGAAGATCAAAGATATATCATTGGTTCTTATTGGTGAGTCGAATAATTTTACTTTTTTTACCAGATACTTAGAAATACTATTCAAATTTTTCCTTTACCATTTTTTTTTGCTTACGTCTATGTTATCCCTTTGGCGAAATAATTTTATTTTTGAAAAATCGATGTATTTTCCTGTAATTCCTGATACTTCACATGGTCTTTTGAGATCATAACACTAGTCGTTTTGTTGTTTTCTACGAAATAAAATCACGTTTCATCTTTTACATGTTACAGATCATGCCTGTTGAATAAAAGGAGAATTCGCAAAAAGACAGAAAAAAATGCACAAACATAATGCTGCCAAACCAAATTTCGTCGCCTTGTTCGTATTTTTCGCGAACAGCTTAGTTGTGAAATTTCTTCGTTTGTTATGTTAGCAAACCGTGTAGCCATTTTGCTCGCAACTTGCGCGAGTTTGGTGTCGCTTGGAGGCTTCGGCTCGGAGGTGAATAGCACTGGATATCCCGAGTTTGAGTAGCCAGAGAAAACAGTGTGCGAAAAAATGATCTCCACTGTTTTAGTATATACTAATAAAAACTGTCATGTGTTTGAAAAAAATTACCATACCACGCGAAATCCTTTTATAATCTCCACGAAGGTTCATTGGTGTGTCTAAAAATCCTTTTAGTCTCTCTAAACAGAAAACAAAATGAAAAACAGTGATTTCTTAGAATTTTGTACGTAACGAGAACTATAAATCAACGGCCCAAATTCAGTTACGAATAAGGGTATATAAAGCGAGAACTGAATTCGAGCGAATGGAGAGAGTGGGAGGTCTACAATAACATATAGATTTAGCCAGAACTAAAAGCGAAACTCTCGCTTATGCCTTTTATGTTTTTTTCAGAGAATGTACTTAAAACCATTGAAGAAATCCACAAATCTCATAATTAATTACTTTAGGGGAGAACTATATGACTGAAAAACATAGACTTGAGCCTGTAATAAATTAAAAGCTAACAACTGGTCAGCAGAAATCTTGAAAAACGTGACCTCGATGACTTGGCACCTGAGCCCACGATACGGTGATGTGACACTGGACAGCGGATACCCTGTTTTGAGAGCTGTCAATTGACCATAATATGGATGTTTATTGTCAAGTTAAACACAGGTTACAGGCTCCCAAAGTAACTTTAAAATTTGACTCTTCACATTGGGTCCCTGTAGTGCGGACGAACGCGCGGACGTATGGACGTACGGTCACGTGATTACCAAAATTTCTCCGCTATGAAAGTTCAAAAGGGCCCGTTATCAAGTCTCAATCTAAGGTAGCAAACCGGTTTTACCAGGAAGTATCGGTCAGTTAAGCTTATTGGATCTTTTTGGTGTTCTATTCGGTTAAATTGTTTTCGGGTAAATTGTTTGATCTACCATTTTATAGAAGCTTTCAAGCTTTGAAATTGGTTTGAAAGTTATTTAATTGGATCAATAGTTGTATTCGATGTTATAATCCTTTCGCGCATGTGTAATCTCTTTGTAGGCCTTGGAGTGTGGGGAAAGAAGTTACTTTTAAAGTCGCTACAACCAGTTGCAAAAATGTTGAGACACTCTCACGGAAAAACACCCTTTCGTGCTTCAAATCGCTGCCATTTAAAGGTCTTTGAGATATAATACTGACCTCCCTCCTCCCTCCCATTCAAAGTTGTCCCTCCATGTTTTGTGCATGGTCTTGCTTTGTTAACTTTGATAAGGGGTGGAGGGGGATCACAAGCACAAGATGATGGACAGGCCATTTATACCAAAATACGGTACAGTGTCTCAAGTACTTCTGTAACTGGTTGTATCTCCATCTTGATCCTTGGGTCGCACACCTTTGTCTTCTATGCACAAGCCATCTTTCGTCACTCAACAAAGCCTTCGATATTTGTCTAGTAACCGTTAAAAAGGCTGAATAATAGTCACTTGTTACTTCATTCAAGTGCTGCACAGCAATTTACTCACTTTTTTCAGGTTTCTGAGATTCCACATCGGGAAACACTCTTGAATTCTCAGAATCCTCTTCGGTTTCCTCTACGAAAAGAAAAAAATCATGTCTAGTTTGAGGATGTTTTATTAAGTCAAAATCTGTGTTAGAAATAAAAGGTGCTTTCCATTCAGCCCCAAATTCCGGAAATTTCGGTTAGATATATATCAAATTGAACGGACTATTTCGAATCGGTCCGACCGGAATATTTCGGACCACCTTTGAAGGTGGTCCACTTTGACCGGCCCTGCCCATTTGACAAAATCATTGTCCCCAGTACCGCTCTTTTGTATCCTGCTTGCAAGAACAATAACCAAACAACGTGTGCCCGATTAGCAACCTCCAGTTTGTCTCTAAGTTTACTGAACGCGTTGTTTTTGGTCAAACCTGTGATTATTTGACTGGGCATGGACTGCTTCCTGAGTTACAATCTGCCTACAGGAAGCATTATAGCACAGAAACGGCACTTACTCACTTAACGGTACCATGGGGTTCGTGCCTAGGACCTTTCCTCCTCACCCTCTACACTAGTAAGTTGTTCTAGTTCATAAATAAGCATTTGCCTCCGGCGCATGCGTATGCTGATGATAGTTAGAAGGAGTGCTTAGGTGCTATGGAGTCATGCATAAAGCCTGTTAACGGATAAGTTGAAATTGAACGATAGCAAGACATAGTTCCTAATCATAAGCACGAGGCAACAGCTGAACAAAGTTTGTATTGAAAAGTTATCTGCAGACGATTCTGCTATTACACCAGTTTCAGCCGCTAGAAATTTAGGAACTTTGTTCGATGAGAACCTGAGTTTCGAATCACATATCAGTAACACGCGCAGGGCTGCATTTTGCCATATCCATAATATTAGTAGAATTAGAAAATACCTGTCTGTAGACATAGCAAGAACTTTAATTCATGCTTTTATTATAGAAAGAATTTACTTCTCGTAAGTTACAGTGTGTTCAGAATGCGGCTGCTAGACTAGTTACAGGTATGTTCCGTTTTAGCGATGTTACTCCATTGCACTGGATGCCGGTGCAGGAACGAATTCGCTATAAAATAATAATACTGTCCTTAAAAGCTATTTATGGCCTAGCGTCTACTTACCTTTGTAGTCTGATAACCATTCAACGTCCCAGTATGTATTCTCTTCGACGAAGTGATTATCTGTATCTTAAGCCATTCAATGCTAAGACATCGAAAACACTGGGTGACAGATCATTTACAGTGATGTGGCCATCTCTTTTCAATGGTCTTCCTTGTCAGATAAGACACGAAAAGAATTTTACCCATTTCAAAGCCTTAAAAAAGACTTTTATGTTTAAATTAGCCTATGACTTTTAGATACTTTTGTCGATAGGTTTAATACTTTAAACTTTTTTAGATAATTTCTAGATTATTTTTTATTTATATTTCTTTCATCATATATCTAACCGATATTTTGAAAACCATAATAATGAAATTTGCATTCATTTGACTGAAAAGGCGTCAAAAGGCAGGTTCTTATGCCCGAGAAGATCCAAAATCACAGTAACGATGGAAAAGGAAAAAGAAAGAGCGAGGAGAAGGAAAGGAGGACATGAGAAAAAAGCAATGGTTGCATTCTTAGTTTTTATAATGGCTACTTTGACAGAAAAAGACAACAGCGGTAACGTTTTCAAAAATCCGGCGTAGATATATATATTTATTAACAATTATTCTTTGAAATAGAGGTGAATACATGTAGTGGCAAAATATTTGCCGAGCCACGAAGTGGCGAGGTAAATATTCCTAAAGCCACTATTCACCGAGATTGAAAAGTATAATTGTTTTAGTATATACACACGAAGTGATCTCAACAAGATCGGAGAGGAAACCATTAAAAAGTACGATTTGATTGACAGATCAGGTCAGCTAGACACGCGACAGTTTAAAAATAGATCTTTGTAGAATTTTCAAACATGGCAATTCACAAGCTTATCACTTCGCAAACTACAGCGTAATGACTTAATTGGAACCGCTAAAAGTTTGAATTGTTTCCTTACCTGAGAAGAAAAGAAGAGCTTTGTTGTTTTCTGTTGACT